AAAAAAACAAAAAAAGCCAGGTATGATGGCACATGCCCGTGATCCCAGCACTTTGGGAGATTGAGACAGGAAGATTGCAAATTTAAGCCCAGCTTCTGCAACTTAGTGAGACCCTGACTCAAAATAAAAAATAAGAAAGGACTTGGGATTATAGCTCAGTGCAAAGGCCCTCAGTTCAATCTCCAGTGCTGGAAAAACAAACAAACAAACAAATAAACAAACAAATACCTATCTGTACTTATGAGAAATTCTAAGGGACTTTTGTTCAAAAGGATGATTTAATTTGGATATTTCTAATTTCAAGTCCTTCTTCATGGACATATTTCAGCAGGGTAATTTCTAAGAATATCATTATTCTCTCTCTCTCTCTCTCTCTATATATATATATATCTATATATATACATATATACACACACACACATATACAAGAGAAACTTTTTGCTCTGTGTTGTAGAAATTTGGGTGTTGGGGTTAAATTCAGTTCATCCAATAGAGATTTGCAGTCCTCTGACTTTAAATTGATGACCTCAATGATAAGTTATATCCTTTGAGCTGATATAAAGGCTGCTTCTGTACTTGTGCATCTTATTTTGGAAGGCTACTGGGAGCTCTGCCAACAGCTCAAGGGATTAATACTGTGCTCCTGGATCAGATATTCCTAAGTGTTAGGAGTCCTCCAAGGATTAGTAGAGATCTCACGTTTGTAAATTGACCCATCCCTTGCATGGGATACCTGATGGAGCTTTATTCCTGCCTAGAACCCTCCAAATTTTCATGATCAACCTCTTTCACAGGTAAGACAGTACCTCACCCATTAGGTGAAATCTGACATCTGTAATCAGGAAATTGGTTGGTCTCATGTAGACTAAAGTATAAGGAGATATTTGGCATATTAAAAATGTTTATGCTTCAAATAGTATAGAATGGGGTCTGGTGATGCTTGGGGAAGGTCAGATGCCGATCAGATCTTACTAAGACAGCATTAAATCTTTGTTATATATTGTGTTATTGATACTCCTTTTAAATTTTCTTTACTGGATCCTTCTTGCTGGTGTGATTGTTGGCTGATAAATGTACCGAATGCTGCTCCTTTACTTCAAGGTAGATTCAACTTTTATACAATTCATGTTTTAGGGCTTTCCATGGGATCAGGCTAAAGTTTAACTTCAGAGAAGGCCACATCTTTGCTCAGTTTTCTTTTCTGCTGTATTTTTCTTCCTTTGCTATGTTTCATTTGAAAGCACTCTCCTAAAGCCAGGCGTGGTGGCGAACGCCTGTAATTTCAGCACTCGGGAGGCTGAGGCAGGAGGATCACTGTGAGTTCGAGACCAACCTGGGCTACATAATGAGTTCCAGGTCAGTCTCAACTACATAGTGAGAAACTGTCTCAAACAAAAACAAAAACAAAAACAAAAACAAAAACAAAAAACACAAAATGCACACGCGCACGCACGTGCGCACACACACACGCACACACACACACACACACACACACACACAAAAGAAAGCACTCTCCTACCAAATTATTCCTTCAAATTCTGTGTCAGGCTTTATTTTTAGGAAAAGTAGGGCACTGCTCTAGACCATTTTCTTCTGCTATAACAAAATACCTGAGAAGGGGAAATTGACAAAGAAAGATTTATTTAGGCTTATGGTTCTGAAGACTAGAAAGTCCAAGATCATGAAACCAGCAAGCACCTCATGCTGCTTCAACTTGGTAGTAATTAGAAGAGCAAGTAAGTATGTACAGAAGATAAGCAAGAGAAGGTCAAGGAAGCTGAACTCATATAGCAACTTACTCTTTGGTAACCAGTCTCGCCCTAGGAGAATGAAAACTTAGGTGCCAAAGGAATTAATCCATGCACATGGGCTCAGCAGCTAAGACCCGAACATCTTCTACTGGGCCCCACCTCCAACACCGTCACTCTAGTGGTCAAGCATCAACACGAGTTTTGGTGGGATGAACCACATTGAAACCATTACTATGACCTAAGATATCTCATGAGTTAAAGCCAAACATTTGAAAATCCGTCATGTCCATGATCTAGAGACAATTCAACAAAGATAGAGAAAGTGATGATGTGAAATCAGAAAGGAAAAGGGTCTTACAGAGCTTTGTTTCTCTTGAGTGAGACAACACCACCAGTCAGAGGCACCTGCAATCCACCTAAGTGGATGCAAACCCCCTGTAACAGGTCATTGGTGAGGACTTTGTTATTTAGAGACTGGATTTAGGATTATTCCAGATCAAAGGCTGTGTTTATTTTGTTTTGATTTTTTTGCCATTTGCATTCAAATTTCTGGGACTTAAAAAAGCACTGGGATAAGCACTAGTGGAGAAAAAGGTGGCATGGGATTTCAGGTAAAACAGTCACAAAACTTTGGTGATAGGCATGTGGAATAAAACAGATGTGTTTCCAGAGTTATGGTGAACCCTCTGTGATGTGTGACTGGACAATATTAACAGAGCCTACTGTGTATCATATGTAGATGACTATATGTATTAGATACTTATATATGATTATACTGTTCTTTTTTCATTAAGTTTATTGGTACATTTTAGGACGTACAATATAATGACATTCATCATTGGAAATTTGTACCTTTACATACTCTATCTTGGGTCTTATTTTTTCCCTATTCTCCTGCCCTCCCTTCATCTCCTCCACCTATACTGTTCTTAATCAATTCTTAATCAATGACATATAAGACTTCTTTTTGTCCTGACAGGAGCAGGTTATAGATATTCTAGTAATCCATTGTGTTACTAACCGTCCTAAACAAATTGCTTAAACAGGTACACGCACTTATTTTGCTCATGTTATCTGCAACTTGGATGTTTCTAGTAGGGATTACCCCTCTTCCTGCTTCAGGATGGTCTGGGATCTCAATTGGGAAGGCTTGCATGTCTAGGGGCTGGAAAAGCTAAAAGCTGGCTTCCTTCCAGTATGGCGATTTCAGAGTAGCTGGACTTCTTTTACAGTATCTGGCTTTCCCCAGAGCAAGTATTCTGACACTTAAAAGGAAGACACAGGACTTCCATGACCTAGCCTCAAAAGTCTGAGCATGTCACTTCTACCATAATTAACTGATCAAGCAAATCAGTAAGGTCAGCCCAGATTCAAGGAGTGGGGGAGGGGGTTAGGTCCCCCTTTGTGCATGGAAGTAATATAAATCCTGTGCAGCCCTTGTTAGTCCACCAGCAGAGGTAGAGAGTAAATGGGACTCTTGATTACAGCACTTAAGGCTAGCACCACTTCTCTTTCACAGGTGATTATCTTGTTCGTTTGTTTTGTGAAGAACAAGATAAATTGAGTATGCCTGGAGAAAGGGAAAAAGAGCCAGTGAAGGGAGTACATTAACACATTCCTGCTGGCTCGAAGCCCAAGTGGTACATGTATGACCGTCATGATTTTTGACACTGCAGAGAAGCAAGACATATGAATTATGGCCCCATTGTGAATGTGTTGAAGAGGTAAGGAAGAGAATGTTTGCTGCTGAAAAGTTGTTGGGTTTCAGAGAGCAGCCATATGTAGTACTGTGCTGGGATTGCTGCCTTGGGGCTGCAAATCCTTTCTGTTGTCCCTACATGTGACATCATGTAAAATCATACGAAACTTCACTGCCTGGGTTCAGATTTGTAGTGGGGAAGGAAGGAAAGGGCTGGCTCCACTTCTGGCCTAGAAGAGTAGAGGGAACAGTATTTCCCACAGCTAGGTATTGTTTGTCTTAGCGGCTGTTGTCTGATTAGAACCTGCTTGAGGGTAGAGCTATGTTTTCTATTTTCCTACCTCATCCAACACAGCCCCTTGTAGGACACTGCAGCAAAAACCCAACCTGCAAACCAAATGTTGGTGTAGCACTAGAGCCTAGGTCAGATGATAGGATTCCTATATTCTTTTTTCTTCTTCTGGTACCAGGGATTGAAGTTGGGACCTTGAGCTTGCAATTAGGTGGCTGCTCCACTGAGCTAAATCCCTGGTCCAGAAAATGGGATTCCTGTGGGAATGGGAAGGATGTGTGGGTGAAGGGCTGTGGTGAGGCTGATATGCAGATCAGCATCAACAGACTTGAAGGGTATGCTGAGTGAGGCGAGTCAGGCCCCGAATATGGGAGTAGAACCTGATTATGTGTGTGAGGGTCCATCTCAGCATTTGCATGGCATCTGGGTATGAGTGTGGGGGTCCTTCCTAGCATCTTCAAATTCTGTGCTCTGAGGTGACTTTGAGAGATTCTACAGGTATATGAAGGATGTTTCCCAAGCACTGCTAGGTGCCCAAGAAATAGTCCTCACAGCACAAGGATTAGGTGAAACAGTATTGGTTGTCCATTGCTGAGTAACAAAGCTCTCCAAAATTTAGAGGCTTAAAACAGTAGTGAGTTTATAATTTCTTGGACTTCTAGATAAGGCATGGTAGGAAAGACTTGTCTCTGTTCTAGGTAATGTGAAACAACAAAGATGGCTTCTGTGAAACCTCAGTTAGGATGCATGCACCAGTTTATGTGCCCAGGCCTCTCCCTCTCCATGTGAGCTCCACATAAGGTTTCTTCTCAGGAGGGTAGAAGAAGAGGAGCAGCTCGGAACTATAAGAAACTCAAATCAAGGCTGCTAGGTCTTTTTTAAAATCTGACATTTGAAACTGACTATTGTCATTTCCACCACCTTCTTCTATTGGTTAAATGGAGTCTCGGTCCCAGTCCAGATTCCAGGGTCAAGGATCATACAAAGTTATACCATTGGAAGGCATGTTTCAGTGGAGGCACTGAAATTTAACAAGAAAGGCTCTGGGATTCGACCTGTGCAGGGTGAAGATGTTCTAGTTCCTAATTCTAGACCTTCTCTTCAGAGAATGTCATTGGAGGGCAAATAATGAGGTGCAAGGAAATCCCAAAAATTGTCCCACATAATTAAAGGTGGAGGGTCTGTCTGATCTGCAACTAGGTATTATTTCTTCAATCCTATTTTAGAGGCTAGAATGCATCACTCTCCAGGATCGCCTATGGCTCCATACCGCAACGCAGTCTTTCAGTCTTTACACTATTTTCGATCCGCAGCTGAAGTTGGGGCTGGTGGGCTCAGGCTAACCAGGAAAGCAATATTCAACGCACAACAGCTAACTCCTCAAGGCCAATGGAAGCGGAGGATTTCGGGAAGGGTACCTCACAGCCTCCGCTCATTGTGAAAACTGGAGCGCCAGGGTTCCTTGGTTGCAACAGATAAGGACTCAACAAATCTTAAAATCAAAGACAGAATCAAGGACCTCAGCCTAGAGGGCTAAAGGACCCCAGTCCGCGCGCTCCGCCCACGCACGCGCTCCAGCCCCGCCCACAGCGCAGCTCTGGCTCCGCCTTCAGGATTGGCCGCAAGGGCCACCGTCCTCACAGCCCCGCCCCGCCCGGGCCCGGGGAGCATGGCC